TTAAATATTAACAAGATAACAAAAGAAATAAATTATCTCTTAATTTTTATTATATATATATATATATATAAAATCATTAATCAACATATGGAGTATATAATTATCTTCGTAGAATTGGTAATAGAAATAATATTATCATATTAGAATATATTAAGTTAATACTTTGAAAAATATATCAGATATATTAAATATTAACAAGATACAAAAGAATAAATTATCTCTTAATTTTTTAAGTTGAACAAATATTATTAAATAACTATTTTTCATATAATAAAAAATTATTGAGGCGTCACTATACAACACGTTTTACACAATACATATATTATGTGGACATGAATTTTTACAACAATATCAAAGCAAAAAGAATCACGTAATATATAATGGAGTTCGGAGCTTAAAGGGTGAAAAATGTTAACAAAAATTTTAAAACGGTATATGAAATTTCTTTTTAACCAAAACTGCAAAATCACTCACGAATTAGCGATTTTGTCTGCTGAAAAAAGTAAAATCGCTGCAATAACAGTGATTTGTTAAATTTGATTTTTTAAAAAAAAAAATCGATCCCAAAGGAGTGATTTTCAAAAAAAAATTATTTTTTTAATATGTCGCTGCTGAGGCAGCGACTTAAGTTTAATTATTATTTTTTGCTTTTTTTTTTAAAGTTTAGATCAATTTTTATTATTTTTTAAAATCAAATCGCTAAAATATTTTGATTTAAAATCCCTGCCTTGATAGCAATTTGATTTTTAAAAATAAATAAAATATTTAATTAAAAATCGGTGTGATTTAATTTTAAAAATTAAAAAAATATTGATTCAAACCTTTCTTAAAAAAAAAAGCAAAAAATAATTAAAAAAATTGAACTAAGCAGCGACATATTAAAAATATTATTAAAAAAAATTATTTTCAAAATCGCTCAAATTTAACAAATCACTATTATAACAGCGATTTTATTTTTTCAGTGGTCAAAATCGCTACTTAATGAGCGATTTTGCCGTTTTGATTTTAAAAAAATTTCATATACCATTTTGAAATTTTTGTTAACATTTTTCATCCTTTAGTAATATATATATAAGTGAAATAACATAAATAATAAAAATTTATTAACTCAAAATTAAAGAAGAAAAAATAGGAGAAAATAAAGACAAATGATTGGGAGTTGTCTAAATTATATATATATATATATATATATATATATATATATAT